GTAAATTAATTGAAGTAGATTGTGCTTTAGATCATAGGCGGCGGAGCCACGAGGCCTGGGTAGGCTCGAGCCTACCCTAGATTGGAGTTGGGTAGGCTCAAACTGGGACAGATAAAGGCTTGGACAGGTTAGAATTATCCTAAGCTAAACATATGAAAAAGCTTGAGTAGGCTCGAATCGTCTTAGATTGAGGAGATAAAAGAGGCTCAGATAGGCTCTGTTCAATGTTAAAATTCTCTAAAGGGTGGTTCAAAAGTTTCGATCACTTTCTATAAATCGATAGCATCTACAACAAACTAATATGAAGTTATTAATCAAATTACGTCATCTTTTAGAGAAAGATAAGAGTTATCATGTGAAAAAAATAATTGGAAATAGATCTGGCATCTCACTAACACTTTGTAAAAAAAAAGAGAAAAAAAGATGCCCAGCATTCTTGAAAAAAAAGAGGAGAAAAAGAGGCGTCCAGTTTTCTTTCGAAGAAAACTAAAACTCACCGACACTATAGTACTATAGATCCGACAAAATTCGTACGTTATCAGTATAGATTGAATATGACTTGAAAGAGAAAAACAAAAACGAAACTTCCAAATTGTTCGAAGATTTTTGTGCAGCTGCTTATTTATCCATTAGAAAACCGGAAAACATTAGAAAAATATTCTAAATATTCTATCTGCATAGTATCTGAGTATAGTATCACTGTCTAACTAAGTAGGTATATAGAAATAGAAACAATCAAAATTCATTAAATATCCTTTTTGCGTTTTGTTCCTTTTTTTCGGATGGCTGCGCATGTGAGAAAGTTTTTCTTGCGCTTTTTCAATTTTCGACAATTCTTCCGTGATTTTGACCAGTTTTCGCAAGTCAGTTTCATTTTTCCGTTTCTCAACATAAATTAATACATTGGTTGTAACTGTGTCCAGACAGCAGGTTTGTGGGAACCATTTGACCGCGTGCTATCGAAAACGCTTAATTTTTCGCAGTGACATATGATCATCTTCTTGGATTCTGTATAAAACGACTTACTTGTATTGAGTAGATTGTATGATCTCTTACTTTTTGGTTATCGGATACCCCTGTTTGTTGCTGTTGCATTCCATCATATCCGATTTCTTCCAAGTATCATCAAACCGTTGTCAATATTAACCCATGTCAAGCAAACACGCTCGTAATTGGAGAAATACGGCGTTTCATATCGCCCAGTAATGTGATTGTATAAATCCGTCATCGTATGCGCAAAAATATGATCGTTTATAGACAAACAAAGCTCGTCTACACTTTTCGTTTTACTTCGTATTTCTTCGTATACGATTATATTTCTCCGTGTACGGTTTGGAGATATACGAACCTCTAAAATGTGATTGAATACGAAGAAACTCGGAAGAAGAGGAAGAGGGGTTACTTCATTTTCTGATAAGCAGAAATCTTCAACTTATGTTATCATACTATCGGAAGCTATCTTGCCGAACAAATCCCATTGAATCTGACAGAATTCTAGACTGAGTCTAGTCATCCTAGGAACTCTTTGCTTTGAAGCATGCGCTACGCTACGAGTTACCTATCTATTGTTAGATTCATATCACAAGCTTCTCTGGGGCCGAAAAAAGCGGTCAAGAAAAGTGAGCTCGGGATTATAATTTTACATGTCGATCTTAACCGGAATAAATGTGGAAACCTCGGATTTAAATCCGAGAGTTATGTGTACTTCAAAAAGTGAATGAGACGGATGAGTCATCCTAGAATGTGTGGACGTAAAAATTATCCTGGCAAACCTTTTCTATAAAACACTTGAATTCTATTGGCTATTGCTCAATCAATAAGATTTAGAGATGAATACAGCTCAGATTTGAACTCTTCGCCTTGATTTACCCTAAGAAAGTCGTTTTTTCCTATAGCTTGATTTCTATTGGTTACTGCTCAACCAATAGGATTTCAAGGCAAATGGAGCTTGGATTAGAGTTCTTCGACCCAGAAAACCTCGAACTATCATCTCTGTGATCGAAAGACAGAGCTCTAATTGTGGATCAATTAGAGTGTGGACAAGAACAGAACCATTTCCCGTTTAATTATCTTTGCAATAGGTGAGTTAGTCTTCTTGTTTCTTTATGTTTTATATACCATTTTGTAGCTCGTGAAATTCTCTATCGAATGGTATATAATAGTTGGGGTTTTATTTGACTATGATAGGAAAAGTTTCTTACGAAAGTGGGGATAGGTCGATTTTCGCATAGGAAGGCATAGGGAATAATGACTATTTTTGCAATAACTCAGGAACGGCTTGATGGATCATTCTCATCTTCGAACTCGACCGAGATATTGTTGAGACTAAACTGTGTAGAAAATTTCATCGCAATCGGACTCTCCTTTCAAAAGTTATCTTGTAAACGGCCGGACACACTGACCGATTCTAGAGTGTACTCACTTTTTGAGTACACAAAAACATGTTAAGATCGTGAGAGAATGACGATTTCATATTGGAAACATAATTGAGTGCTTTTGCTTCCGCTAGAGAACTACAAAAATTGGATTCCGATTATGAATATATAATATCGCTGAAGTTGATCACTAAAATCATATACTTTAGCTTCCTTAGCTATGCAACTTGACTGATCAGCACATCAGTTTATTATGTGATGTTTTTGTATGATACGGTAACAATAATCAATATATTCATGAATATTTTTGTCAACGACCTGCTTCTTCGTGAGAAAAGAGAAAAAAGTGGATTTTTTCGAAAAAGAGGCTAAAAAGAGGAATTTTAAAAGAACAGAAGAAAAGGAGGAAAACGAGGTAGAGTGGGATGCCAGCTCAAAGCTACTAAAATGATCATAACATTATAATAGATTTATGTGTTTCGAAATATTTTTTTCAAATGATAACTCTCATCTTCCTCTACAAAATAACACAATTTGATCAATAACTTTGTATAAGTTTGTTGTAGATATTATCGATTTATAGAAAGGGATCGAAACTTTCGAACCATCCTTTAGTTATCAAATTCTAAGGAATTTAAACCTAGCAAGAGAATCCGTAGCGCTTACCATTATAAACGAAAAAAAAAGTCTTTCAATTGACTCTCAGTGCTGGCTTGGCTTAAAAGTTGAGCCTACCCTAGACTAAGACCGCTCCGCCGCCCATGCTTTAGATATATAATTAATTGTTGAAAAAACAATAATTGAAAGTATTAATTTAATAAATGCGTTATCACGATCAAGTTGATTTATAATTTGTTTTGTTATATTTAATAAAGTTGATTGAAATATCATTTCAAAGAGTTGTAAAAAAGCTGGATTATCAAGTAATCGAGAACGACTCAATTTCAATGATACACTTAAACCTGCAACATATTTTAATGTTGAATTAGTTAATACAGTTTAATCATGAATAGCTAATGAAAGAAAATTCGAGTTTGATTGAAGACATCTTTGAGTTTGACTCATTAATGATAGAACTATTTCACGTATTGATTCAACCTTTAAATCTTAATTTAATCGGTAAAGTATTTTGTTGACATATAAAACGTTCATCATAACAATGAATTATATTTGATAAAAGATTTCATTCACTTGTGCTCAATGTTGATTGATCTGATTTCAATAAATTTAATGTTATAAACTAAATCGAAAGAAAAAAATTCATTAAAAAACAAAAAAAAAAATTTTCATAAGAAAATTCTTTTTCTTAGGGTGTGAGGTGTGGGGTGTGGGTGTTGGTATATTCTTTCTCGACAGTCACATCCACATTCCACACCTGCATCCACATCCGTACCTTCAGAACAGTGAATTGAAATAAGAGAAATCATGCCAATATATCACAATTGATTTGACATCAATGAAGATCGAGGTCGTTGTCAGAACAATCACGATTCGATCTTCATCGAGACAGACATGGTTGAAGTGAGAAATTAAAGTAAAAATAGAGTTTCGAACGAATATTTTCATCTGATAGTTGAACTGATTGATATCTCAATGAGAGATCGATCCGGAAATTAAAGAGATTCTTGAAGAACAAAACAACTCAACGCTTTTACTGCCCGTGAATTGTGTTCAGAAAACATCAACAAGAAAAATCACATGAAAATCGATCAAAATTATAGGTCTTTTGTGTTTGTTTATCGAGAGATTCGACGGAAAACTTGGAATTCACAGAAGAAATCTCTGAATGTAATTCTTTCTTTGTCTTGTTCTCTATCGTTCACCATCAGAAGTTCTTTTTTGTCTACATTCTATAGAAACCTTCCTTTTTTTTTAATTTCAGTTTATTTTGCTATTATAAAGCGAATCGTGAACAACATCAACAAATATCGAATATTAATGAAAAAGATCATGATTTACATAAGTTTTACGCTTGCAACGTCTCATATAAGTTCATCATTGTTATTGACGTTCAGACCGTGTCTGCATGACTAAAGAGCACGTGTTGTAATAATAGGTGCAACTATATTATTCGGAATCCTATGGCAGCGGAACAGTTTGCCAATATAAGACTGGGTTTTAAATACTTCAAAGTAGACTTGAGATGGTAAAACAAAGAGCAAGAAAGTAGCTGTTTGAATTAGATAAATAATCAAATTGACACTGATGTTCCATCTTAACAACCATTTTTCAGTAATATCAATACAGGAAAATTTTAGTGAGAGGGCCAATGACGGTAATATACAGATCTGGAAACGAAAAAAAATATCATATCAGTTTATAAGAAACAAAAGATTTACTATGGTTAATGTAGGTGACAAGAAGAGATGGCCATTACGACGGAATTGTCTTATCCATTGTGACCAATAAGTTCGTCGATGAAGATTGGCTCTTCGAACGCTGACTGAAATTAGAGTCAAGTAATTGGCCAACACATTCAGTAAAAATGGTAAGAACAAATGGATAAATGAGAATATAGTATTCAACATCAATAGATTGTCGGAGTATTTGATTTGACAAACAAACTTTCCTTTAGCTACTGGATCAGGAAGTGTATACCGTGAGACCAATTCGGGTATATGCATGAAAGATGTGCAGATCATTACAATAAGAATTTGTATCTTTCCAGCGGTTCTCGAGCGAATTCTGTTCCACAGACGACCGAACTCAAATGAGTGAAGCGATCGTTGCAATGCAATCAGACCATTCATCCACAGACAGATTCGAGTGAATATCGATGATATAGGAGTGATAATATTGCAAATAGATAGAAATCCAATATAACTTAGAGAATCGAATAGTTGAATGAGACGAATTTGAAGCATGAAAATAACGAATGTCGAACAACAGCTATAGACGAACAGATAGAATCCAACAGTGGTTGATCTCAACTGTGCTTGACGAAATGTGTCGATAGACAATATATTCGAGAGCAAGCCAAATACAACCATGAGTGTCACCGAAAATACGTAGGCAAATGTAATCATCTCTTGTTGACCAATGTTGCTTGTTCGAATATCTGTCTTGATACTCGATATCAGGCCAATAAGAAATATATTGGTCGAATTATTACAGGTCATGCTTCACTTGATATATACTTTTGAGAAGAGAAAAATGAAATGTGGATTTATGTTGAAGACCAGTATAAGTATATAGTAAATGTTAGACGGAGCTCCAAGGTATCTTCTTTATATTTGAATAGCAGAAAGAAACCTAGCCTGTTTTACACAATGCGGCTCATGGCGTGGATGAATTCAACCGAGAGTGATAAATCAATTTATAGATAATGACGTCTTTTGA